AGACTTCATCTCTACAATAAATCCAAAAATTAGCCAGGCGTGGTAGCACGCGCCTGTAATTCCAGCTACTCAGAAGGCTGAGGCGGAAGGATATGAATAGACACTTCATATCCTTAGATTGCTCAGGCAATCCACTCACCTCACCCTCCCCAAGCGAGGGATTACAGGCTGAGCCACCGAGTCCGGCTACCATTTCCATTTTCTCATGAAATTCTCCTGGGAGCTGCCCACCCTCTTAGAGCATTTCTCCAACATCACCAAAGATATTATAGTGATTTATTTCAGGTTTCACGATTATCTCATATTCTTTGGTCATAAGGGTAATTTTAAATAATGTCTGATAGCAAGCTAATAATTACCTCTCACATGGCAATTCTCTAGTCCAAAGTTTCAACAGTCATGCTGCGAGGTGCTCAATGGCTTTTGCTATCAGGCCCCGTCTATGCTCCACAGAAGGCTAATGATCTGTGTGGACTCAGGCAATCTTATTGGTTCCCATTTTGAATGTCCAATCAAAATTACTTAAGGGGTGGATTTACATGTCTTCTGTCTTCCAATATGGAAATGTTCCCTCATCAGATACAATATCCATCTCATAATACATGTAAATACATAATTCAGGTAAAAGAGATGTAACCACTGTTCAGGCTTACCAATTTTTTCCCCAGAGATTCACCTTAATCCCAGCAACTTTGCATTTCTGACTGTGGCCCCCATAAGCCAACACCAACTGGTTTTGGTTTTACAATGCAAGGTAGGGGAGCTGTTTCCCAGTCGGATATGTTATCCATTCCCATAAAACATTCAGGTGAAGGAGAAACAACAACTACATGTAAAGTCTGCTTAAACATTCCACTTTTCATCCAAACTTTCATGTTAATCCCATTACTCTTGAATTTTTTTTTTTTTAGTTGAAGTCTCACTCTGTGGTCCAGGCTAGAGTGTAGTGGCATGCTCACGTCCACCGCACCCTCGTCCTGCTGAGCTCAGGCCATCCTTCTACCTCAGTCTTCCAAGTAGCTGGAACCACAGGCACATGCCACCATGCCCAGCTAATTTTTTTGATTTATTATAGGGATGCGGTCTCGCCAAGTTGCCCAGGCTGGTCTGGAACCCTTGAGCTGGCAATCCTCTTGCCCCAGACTCCCAAAGTGCTGGGATTATAGGCCTGAGCTACCACACGTGGCCTGACTCTTGCATTTTATATCCTCTCAGTTGACTTGTAGTGCCCCTTAGGGATTCACCACTGGCTTTTTGTGCCACAGTGCAGAAGACTAGAGGCTGCAGGTCCACTGACCAGAATCTAAGCATGGTTCATCTTTTACTTTTATTTTGGCTGTGATAGGTAGCAATCTAAAAGGACTGTCTGTTTGCTTTTCTTCTTATTAGTGTGCACTTCCTTACACATCAGTGAGGCAATTTCCCAGAAGTTGGATCCATCATCTCTAAGCTCCATTAATAATTTTTATCTCTAGCCGGGCTCGGTGACTCAGCCTGTAATCCCGCACCTTTGGGAGGCTGAGGTGAGTGGATTGCTTGAGCCTGCAGGTTCGAGACCCGCCTGGGCAGCGAGAC